CATTACTATGGATTTCATCAAAGGGTTGCCAAGTTCTAATGGGTTCAACGGTGTTATGGTCGTAGTAGATCGACTTACGAAGTATGACCATTTCATACCCATCACCCATCCTTACACAGCGAAGTCAATTGCCAGACTATTCGTCGAGTACGTGATAAAGCTGCATGGAGCTCTGCGATCTATAGTTTCTGACCGGGATAGGATGTTTATGAGCAACTTTTAGTCTGAATTCTTCAAGCTGCAGGGAACCAAGCTATCCATGAGTTCAGCATCTCTACCGCTGAGTTATATCCCTGCCCCATCGAGTCTATTTCCAAATATCCATTGGCCCGATACTAATCTGCTCGTGGGCCCTTCTTCTCCTAATTCTTTCCATTCTCACCTACAGACCAATGGACAAACCGAGGTAACCAACCGAACCCTTGAGCAATACCTACGGTGCTACGTTCATCAATTTCCGAAGAGGTGCGAAAATTTTTTGCCCTGGGCTGAGTACTGGTACAATACTACCTACCATGAATCAACCAAGATGACTCCATTTGAGCTGGTATACAGGCGTAAACCGCCAACACTGCTCAACTACTCAGAAGGAGGCGTGGTTAATGATGAAGTCGGTCGAGAACTCGAGGAGCGAGATCTGATGTTGAGAGAGTTGAAGAAAAATCTTAAAGGCTCGATGAACAAAACCAAAGCCTTTGTAGATGGAAAGCGACGAGAAGAGAATTACGAGCCAGGAGAGTATGTCTACTTGAAGTTGCGGCCATTCAGACAGCGCACAACAGCACAAAGGGCAGCAACTAAGTTAGGAGTGCGCTACTATGGACCTTATCAGATTCTGAAGCGCATTGTTCAGGTAGCTTATCGTAGGGAATTGCTGGAGAGTTCACAGATCCATCCGGTTATCCATGTCTCGCAGCTCAAGAGAAGGCTAGGAGAGGCGCAGAAGTATTGTGAGGAATTTCCAGCAACCGCAACCGATGGTAGGATCACCGTACGTCCAAAAAGAGCGATTGAGTATCGCAAAGTCATAAAGGCAGGGCGCTATCGTTGGGAGGTACTAGTTGATTGGGAAGAGCTACCACCCAAAGAAGCCACATGGAAATACCTTGATGAGATGCGCGATCAATTCCCAAGTTTCATTCTTGAGGACAAGGAATCGCTTGAAGGGGACGGGTATGATGCGGAAGCGGCTAGGCAACTCAAGAAGGCCGCAAGTCGCGCTTACCATGCACGAAAGAGGTTAGCACGGGGAACCGCAGAAATGCGCGCACTCGAGCATAGTGCGCGCAGGGCGAGCGAAAATGGCCAGACAACGGACGAGGACGAGCGGGCGCTCGCTGAGGCGGACGCGTGTCGTGCGCAGGCAAGGGACGCATCGGTTGCGGCCATGGGTGAGTAGGACGCGCGGGCCGCGGTGCTGGCCAGCACGCTCGCAGAAAAGTCGCGCGCTAGGGAAGCACGCGCACGCGAGACTTCATGCCTCGAGGTATGTGGAGAGGTGGAGGGGCACGCGCGCGCTAGGGATGCCGAAGGAGTAGGCGTGCGCCGCACGCCGGGGACACAGCACGCGCGCGAAGAGGTGGTGCCCTAGTCCTCAAGGACTAGGGCGTGCAAGGTGGTTGGCGCAAGGGCAGCGTGCGAGGGGCGAACGAAAGAAAGAAAGAAAGAAAGAAAGAGAGTTACTTGGTGTACAAGTCAAGGGATTTAGTTTCCAACTAGCTTTGTGATTTCTAGCTTGTTTAGGATTTCTAATATTTTATTGCTTTATTAGTTACCTAGGTAGATTAGGCTTAGACATATTTTGTGCCTATATAAAGGCCCCATCCCCATGTTATTTTTTATCATCAATTTTATGAATAGAAATCTGAACTTTTGTTCTTCTGCTTTGTTTTAGTTTTTCACCAAACTTCTATTGCAATTTTATTCGTTCCAAGAGGCGCTGTTGTGGGTCGAAGAACACCTATCGCCGATTCAAGGCGTGGGCTAGCGGCTTATCGGCAGTCGGTGTTGGGTTCGATATACTGTACGGAACAGAGTTTACAGCGGAATTTAAAATTTTATAAGTATTTATCTTATAAATAATTATTCCGTACATAAGTATAACGAGATAACGAAT